TAATAATAATAATAATAATAATAATAATAATAATAAAAGAATCTTACTTACCAGTTCAGCGCTATCTTTTTGTGATGTGAGCGCTGTTGTGTCCTGCAACGATACAGTAATGTTGATATTATATAAAAAGGTCAAGAGAATTAAAGACTATTACTGAACACAGATCTAGGGATTCTCTTACACCTCCACAGCTCAATAGTAAGAACCATACTTACCAGTTCAGCGCTATCTTCTTGTGATGTGAGAGCTGTTGCGTCCTGCAATAATACAGTAATGTTGATATTATATAACAAGTCAAGAGAATTAAAGACTATTACTGAACACAGATCTAGGGATTCTCTTACACCTCCACAGCTTAATAGTAAGAATCTTACTTACCAGTTCAGCGCTATCTTCTTGTGATGTGAATGTGCGAGCCGTTGCGCTCTGCAACGAAAAATAAAATCTTCAAAACCCTGCCTAGTCCCTGTACGGGTTTCTTCCAGGCCTTTACGGTCAGTTGATTTCAGTGACGTATCCGAGAACCAAACCGGTTGACCGAGGCAAAATATTGGGGCCTAGGAACTAGGTAATTCAAAACCTGGAAAACTACCTTGATAACAGCATTTTAGCAATTTTTACTTAGTTCTGCTCGTCAGCTCATTTGCTGTTTTATGTAATGCTAGTATTGAAAGTAAGAAGAAAAAAATTTTGCAGGATTTTTCTTCATGTTACCCTTATCGGTTAAAAACTGTCTGCTTTCAAGTTCACTACAGTAAATAAATAAATCGTATTTTTGTACGATTTCCTCTACCTGTGCCAAGTTCTCTTCACTGTTTTGATTGAGTCGAATGGCTCCTGGCCGGCTTGTTGTAAGTGGATACAGGGCAGATATCATAGCTTGGAGAATGGGTGCTTCCTGGCCAGAATGTATAAATAAATAAATAAATAAATAAATAAATAAATAAATAAATAAATAAATAAATAAATAGATGTGGCTCTGCAGTCCCTTGCCCAGAGCAGAAATTTTCCATACTTTTAATAACGTAGGTACTCTCAAGATACGTTTCTACGGCCTGAACAAAACATAACAAAGAAATCGGCGTACTGAGTAGAGAACGGGGATGGTAGCAAACACTTAAAGATGCACAAAGATGTAGAAACTGTGTAGTAGGAACCGCAAGCGAAATGAATGACATTCAGAAAGCGGCAGAGAGGAAGTAAGTACTAAAAGACCGACCAATCAGAGCATGGAATACACAATTAAGGGTGTGGCAGGCGTTGTAGCGAGAGCAAGCACATCTTTTTACTTCAAATACCAGGGGAAAATACATTTTAAAAATTTTATAAGATCATAGCACTTTTTTAGAT